GAAAAAGAGTGGAACCAAGAAAAAAAACAAGAAAGCAAAAAAGAAAGCAGGAAGAAAGAGAAGTACCAAGCAAAAGAAGGAAACGGATGAACAGAAACAGAAACGCGTGAAGAAGGAAGAGGCAAAGGCAAAGAAAAAGGAAGAAAGAAACAAACAAAAGGAAAAGCAAAAGGAAGAACGTGAGAAGTTTAAAGAAAAGGTGAAAGATGCAAAGAAGGCAAGAAATGTGAAGTATGTGAAGTGTTCTTCAAATTTGTTTCTTTGGTCAAATCATCTAACCTTGTAATCTATCTAGCCTTGGCTTTGTGCTAGGTGGTCAACTCGCTTACCAGCAAGATCAACGATGTGCGTGCGCGAGAAGAGCGTGTGAAAAAAACTGCCACTTATCCTAGCTTATATATGACACAACCCTGAACCCATCTTGGCCATGTTCGACCTAGTATGATGCGTGTAAATCTCAGCTAGCTGAGGAGTGCTGACATGCAGGGGCCCATGCAGAAAAACTTGGACAAACAACGGTCTTCTTTGCAGAGTGTCAGGGATGCGCTACAAAAGGGTATTGAAAGTTTTGAGGCAGGTTTGATACCAACCACATATTTCTATATTAAGTAATATTGTGTTTTTTCTGCAATTCATTCTATCGATGCAACCCGATGCTATCGGATCCAACGGCTGTGCAGGAGAGCCGCGTCAAGAAGCTGCAGGCGGATGGTGAGAAAGTGCTCGATAAGTACCAAGATTTTTTGGACAGCCTAAAGGTGTGAGCTGGTCGGGATTTACCTGGCCATGGCTGTTTTTGCCTTTTAGAACCTGCTCCTTGAATCCTTGAGTCAAAGCACACAAACACCTTTCGTTCCTAGATAGATCAACCTTCCAATCTTGGTTCACTTGGTCCGAACATCAGGGGTGGGTAGAGGCAGCAGCTTCTTTTGTGTGGGTCACACTGTGACCACTTCTTTTCCAGCGCTAGTTCGTGTCAAGAACAGCCATGTCGACACTGTGCATTGCAATAGTACTTCATAGATTTGGTTATCTTTGGTTCTTCCAACCAATCTTGCCAATTTGATAGGTGGATGCACTGAGTACTAGTGTTGACTGGCTGTCAGTGGGGACCGCAAAATATATAAATTTTGCGATGGACAGGGCCCACGCTGCAATAGACTCTGCAGGTGTGCCTGGGTTTGATCACTAGATCGTGACTAGAAGACCGACCGCCAGAAAGCCGAAACAAATGTAGTTGTGGCCATTGTATAGCGGCATTTTTTAGATTCCAGATATACCAGTATACAGGGACACCCACGCAGGTCCAGTCTCCCAGCCAGTGGAGCCCGCCTTCTTCAACAACGTACTTGATGACATACAAGCAGGAGTGACTTAGCATATATAGTTCAATCGAAGAAATGAATGCTTTGTCCAATTGGCTCATATATAACTATATAACTTGTTTCCATCATAAAAGCCCTCATCCGATCTGGGTTTAGTCCAGGTGACAAGTGCAAAAGCTGCTTTGAAGAGCGCAAGGGCCCACGTCAAGGCGCGCAATACGAGGGCCATCGCGAGGGCCATCGCAATTGGAGCGGTAGTTTTTTTGGGGGGCATGCATGACAGCAGTGTGCATTCGCATGCATGCATCCATGCATGCAGGAAAGCAAAGAATTTTGCCACCCTAAATCGTTACGCTTGGGAACTAAAGCTCCTGGCAACGAAGCTCGTGATCTTGAACGAGCTACCAGAATCAACTTGGAACCTGGGCCAAACAATTGGATTATGTTGGATTCTCCCATATATATAGTTCCTCCATACTTTCTCACCTACCACGAGGTCCATCCTAGCTGGTTCTTCTTGATCAGCTGGATCCGAGTAGTTTGAACAGGGTAAAAATGCATTCGCTGCTGTCTATTGTTGCGGGGCCCTGTTGTAGAGTGAGAACCGTCCTTTTTGGGGGATCCACCTAGGATGTGACGACTATTCGGGCGCCTGTGAAGACTGGGGAAAAGTCTTTTGCGTGGACCGACCTGCAAATGTATGACCCACACAACATCGTGCGTTTTCTATTTGGACCTGATGTTGGCATGGTGATTCAATCAGCTTTGGTCGAAAGGTTCTGGCACTTGAAACGAGATGTTGAAAAAGAAGATTGGGCTGTAGCCCACCCTGCCGAGAAAACACATATCCCCATAGCCTTGTATGGGGATTCCGCACAGCTCTACCCAAATCAGAACGTGAAGGTGCTTGGGCTGTTCATCAGTTTTCCATTGTGGCGATGCTTATCGAATCGATGCTCGCGATGGTGTATATTTGCCATCGAGGAATCCAAACTTTGGAAAACAGATACATTAGACGCAGTGCTGCGACGGGTGACATACAGCATGAATCTCTGCTTCGACGGACTCGATCCAACCGACAATTTTGTTTTTCCTTACAAATTTGCGATGACTGAACTTCGGGGTGATTGGCTCTTTATGAGGCAGGTTTTTGCTTGGGCCTCCTCCTGGACATCTCCCACTACTACATGCTTTCGATGTACTGCGCGGGGTGGGTGGCGAGGTGATGGAAGTGAAGTTTTTTACAACCATTGGGACGATACTCCCAATTGGCATCACTACAACACTGCAGAGTTCATTAATGACCAGCTTGGGGGGGAGGCGAAGTCCCTGTCCCTAGACTTAATGCATGGTTGAATTATGTTGAACTATATAACTGATGATTTTGTTTTGAATTCTGGTGGGGGAAGTGGTACAGTCTTATTGGAAGTTTCTCTGGTACCCTGTTGGCTGAGGCCCCCTAATCCTCGTCAAAGGCTTTCACCCGCAGCTGATACAAATATGTTCCATGCATGTTCTCAACCTTGGACTGGCCTACGATCTAAATGGCTGCTCAATGTCCCATGGTCAATATATCGATCGACAACAGTTTTTTTGTTGGCGTGGTAGGTACTGTTTCTTTTAAATACATGGTCCCTAGATCTGAGCTCAGCTCACATGCATGAGGGCATTTCTACAACGGTGTGGCTATTTTGGTGATGGTGGAGGTGATGACGATGTTGTTCGAGGTCAGCTGAATGAAGCATACCATGTTTTCAAGGAATGGTGCAGGGCAAACAAAATCTACTGCAGTCAACCACGTTTCCGAGCTGGGATGGTCTCTTGGATCGACTCGGCCTGTTTATTTTTTTGTGACCCTACTATACTACCACGTTTTACGACGTTTTATGTGTGCACGTGTATGCCTTTTGATGTCATTGTTTGTTGGGGCCTGCGCTAGCCGCTAGCAGCTGAGATTTACAAAAAAGATGGATCAACGATGTTCACGGCAAAGGGTTGGAACTCGAGGATACTCACCCAATTCTTTCACCATTGCTTGCAAGATGCAGAGCAGCAGCAGAATGTTTACCCTGATCAATATGGTGAGTTGCCTTTGCTTAGCTCCTGTGCGACTCTTGATTGATTTCAATATATTGTCCATTTACCGTTTCCCACAACGTCAACTTGACCCTAGGATTTCAACCGATTCCAACCATCGTTGATTTAGTATAGCCTTTGTTGCCGAACAGCAATTTTACACTAGCTAGCTAGTACTTCTTGTATACGAGCTTAGGACAGCTTTGGCCCGGTTCTATTGGCTACAGGAGGCAGGTGGGCGCTTCTACACTCCCTCGCAGAGACAAGAGGTGTATGAATCCGCCCGGAAATTTGTGTCTCGATTTGTGGCTCTTGCAAGACTTGGAATCAGGCCGGCCTGGGTTGTACATGAACCATTGGGATCACCAAAAAAATGATAGGCGTTAGATGGCGTTAGGCTTGTTGAACCGTCGATGGATGAGTGCATGAGTTAATGAGTGTGTGGATGATCGAGTTGTGCGAGGCAAAAAAGGGATATCTTCCGAGTGCGTGGCAAGCTGCATGTGCTTTGGCAGCGCTACAGCGTTTTTTCTGCTAGCTTCTGTTTTGTCTGCTTAATCGCAGCGATCCTAGTCAGAGTCAGTTCGACCCTGCGTGTGATAACTAAGTTGATGCTCCACTTGGCGGAGGACGCCAAGAAATGGGGGCGGAATGGACGCTTTCATCACACTTTTTCTGATGAGGATTCCATGGGCTGGTTGAAGTGCAACTTGACACAAAGGCTATAGGTGTTCGTTTTGGGCCTCCATGACATGGTCCCGACATGTCCCGACGATTCATCGTATTTTTATTGTAACAGTTCATTGATCTAAGGCATATGTCGTCGAGCTGGTGGCCGAGCAAAAACTAGAGGCCCATTTGTATTGCGAATGACGAGGATCCGGCTTTACTTCATGAAGACCAAAATGAATCTGCTGCTCAGCGTTTTTGAATTGTATGATGATGGCTGTATGGTGGCCTTGTTTGTAGGATAATAAGTAAATTGATTTTCTACATCTCGATATGTTGGTTCCCGGCTAAGGCTGAACAAGCAGGCCAAGAAGCGCGCTTTGAAGCAACTGAAGTGACACTAGCGGTGGACCAAAAAGGAATGGAACAGGGATGGGCGAGGAGCTGTGTTCCTGACCCAGTGGAAGAACATGACTTCAGGAGGTATCCTGAAGGCCTTTGGAGAGGCTTCCTGGAAAACCCTCTAAACCGTCCAGGCTGACCCAAAACCGTCTAGCTGGCTCGACTGTTCTTTAAACCGTCTTTGGAGTCTCTGGGTTTCAGATACTTTGCTTTTCACATAGCTGATCTGAGTGGTCTCATATATATAATTCATCATGATTCATAACATGATTCATAACATGATCTGTTGACTTGCAACCCACTGACTCATTGTGTTTCTTTGCTTCGTTGGAAGCTGTCCACTCAACGGAAAGCCCACTCGTCCCGATCTCGCTTGCCCGGCAGGGGGGCGGTCGGAGCCGGTCGGTCCAGAGGGTGCCAGCATTCCTAAACCAGATGGTTGCTATGTGGAGGCCATCGCAAGTAGCTTGGAGGCTATCGCTAACGAGTAACCAGAAGCTACTACAGTCTGTAGTAGTTCCAAACCAGGCGATTTGCTGCTGGCCTGCGGCTGCGTGGACGCACATGCCACGCTCTGGAGGCTGGCGAAAGGCAAGAGTCGGTTCCTTGGATTTCGCGACCAATGAGGTGGTTGGTTTGGGTGGTTGGTAAACAGCTGGGTTTCAGAGCGAATTCAGAAGACTTGGCCAAAAAAATGGTTGGGTCGGCATGAGCTATTGTTCGTGCAGTAGATGGACATCATCTATGTTTTCTACTATAGCTACTATATTGCCTTAGAGCTGAAAAGACTGTGGAATGGACAGAGAAAATCACAGGATTCTCATGCCACCCCAGCAGAACCTATATAGACCTGCAAGGCTTCCAGTTCTCATGCAGGTGCAAGCCCAACACTACATATCAACATGTTAGATCATGTTAGTAGAATAGTCAGAATAGTCATGTAGATATCTACAATTATCTACCTGTCAGTATTTCAGTCATGACTTATATCGTATTAATCTCCAACCAAACTTTAATGAAGAGTCAACTCTGTTCCTCTGCCAGAGACCTAAAACGCTTCAAAGCGATTCCAAGAAAACATTCTGCAGTCGACTGGCACACGCGACGTGCTAAGCACCGTGCTGGCACACTCAAGAGTGATGGAGCTAAGGAAGGGCACAGGGATTGAGTTCAGCCCAAGTTTTTTGCTGCGATTCCCGGCTGGTGATCAAGACGTTCGTGCGATCAGCCTCAGTGCTTCTGGAGATTTGCTGGCAGCAGGTAGATCTGCCTGCATCGGATGTGGTTGGATGTGGGCAATCTAACGGGCCAAGCATTCAGATGGTGGTCTTCGTATTCCTGGTTGGTGGGGTGTGTGGCAGGGTTTTCATTGCAGTCGGGAAGAGGCTTTGATTTTAACTCATTCTACTGTTTGTTCTACTCATTTTTTGGGGGGTTACCCTTGTGAGTAAAGGAGGTTTAAATGCGACGATCCTCAAATCCACAAGCAAACAGGTGTTGTAAGATGTCAATCACAGATATTATGTAAACATGCAAGTATCATGTAAAGATGATGTTGTGTTATCTTGGATTGTCATCATGATTCCAGCATTCAAAATCGCTGAATTTGACCACATGGGAAAGCAAAAAGTGTCTTCCATCTTCACTGTGTTGACACACGTGTTGAAGCTCGTGTTGAAGCTCCAGCCCAGTTGGCGCCAACGTCGTGTAACCATCCAACGGTGTGGATCTTTGGAACGTGTCTGGCGGTGGACCATGGCACCAGGTGGACCGGACTGGTTGGGGGTGTCACGACCCAACACAGGGCCGCCCATAATGGCCGACATGATCCACCGGCAGGTGGGAGGTATGGCGGAGACCAATTCGAACGTAGACCAATTCGATCGTGGACTCAACGGTTGCCAATTAATTTAGGAACATTCCTTTAAAAGTACTGTATCAGTAGCACAGTGCCATAGTATTTTTTTTTTAAATGTATTTTGCTTGAGCATGGTAACCCTTGATAATATATATAGGGTATATATGTCAGCTGCTGTTCGTTTGACCCATGGAAAAAAGGGATTTCAGGTTCGCACCGAGATCGCAGATGTATATAGATACGGAAAACACACACGATCGGATTTTGCGAGGCAACGATGATACCAGGATGCGTTTGTGGAAGATCCAGCCAAAGAAAGCAGAGATCTCAATAGAGCCCCTTTGCACAGCTGGTCTGCACACAGACTGGATTCATTCAGCAACTTGGCGTTTGGAGGCTAGTGTCAACTCATCAGGCTGCGAAACAAAACGGGGCGACCTTGGTTGACCACCCGAAATGAACAAAAGAGACCATCAGGTAGTGTCAAGCTTCCATAGTTTGGTGTGCAAAGTTTGGACCCACTGCCTTCCAATGTTTGGTTTAGCTTCTGCATTTTGATGGCCGTTGAGGTCACGGCTTGTTTAGTTTCCCTTTCTCCCTGTTTCTTCCAAGGAACAGGCACAGACACAGATCCTGGACCTTTATCCTACAGGCTCAATGATCAAGATGTTTTTTCACAACACCTAGGCAAGGACTGAGACTAAGAGAAGGAAAGAAAAAACGGGGCCATTTTTTGCTTCAGACAACCCACCACAGTTCGACACACATGTATTTAAAATTTATAATATTAATATGATTATTGGCATGTGCGGAATCAGCTCCGCCGCTGGGGCCTGAGGTGAGCACGGCCGATGGGTCGCTGGTGGCCTCCGGCGCGGACGACAACTCCATCGCTCTCTACGTGGCTCGGCTGGGCGAGGAACGGCCTGGATGGTGTTCTCGGAATGGCCCTGAGGTGGGGTCTGGAAAAGGGACCACCAAAGCAACAGATCGATCAGGTTGTTTTGCGGTATTTCATTTTTTAAAGGCTGACTCGATATAGCATGATATAGCAAGATAGCAGCGCTATCATTCTTCCATGCTTTAATGACCTTAATGCCTTAATGCTTCCGAGGGGGTTTGGGAGAGGGGTCAACCATGCCTCAGTTTCCAAGGGCCCAGTGTTGACGTGTGCAAAGAAGGCTAGGCAGAGGTGCAACCCCAGCTTGGGCAGCAACAGATGCCAGGTAGAGGGTGATGCAATAGACAATCAGGGTGATGCAATAGACAACTGGAACATACCAAAAACATGGCACTCTAAGCCTATCAGGGCCATCCTGTCTGTGTGCTACCCAGCCTCCCACCACTCCCGCCGTCCCTCCCATCGAGGACGTTCAGGCGCAACGCCTGGTGGGTCGCGTTCGGATCTTCTCGGGTGCCTTCTGCGCCCCTCGGCGGTCCAATTGAGATTGAATTTCCTGTGTGGAAGTTATTTGTCATCAGTTTAGTTAAGCGACTTCCCACAAAGCCTGAACTGGAAACGGCAGTGTCTCAATCTGCTTTGTCTTTGTTGTTGTTGTTGTTGTTGTTGTTTAACGACGTGTGCTTCCTAGGATGTGGAACACACGCGGAAGCCATGCTTCCAGGCCCTATGCTTCGAGGTCTGTTTAACAGGTCATAAAGAGACGGAGTAGGTGTTCCTTTTGATATTTTTTAACCGTTGGAAAGGCCCGGTGATCAGGGGAGCCAGGTTTAAGGTTTATGTCGGGACACTTTCTCCTGCTTCAGCAATAATGCAGCCACACAAGAATGAGTACGCTGTACTCAGAAGCTGCTACGTATACCCTATACGGCCTAGGTGAACCCAGGAACAAACCAGGCGTAGCAGTCGCATGAAACAGCGTTGACAGTTGTTCAAGCAGCAACAGCGTTGCAGTCGCAGGTCTCGGATCAACACGCAGTTTTCTGTCGCAAGTACTGGTCTCGTTGCAGCAGAGACGAGCAGTTAGCAGTTTCTGATCATGTGTCAACGTTTGTGTCAACCTGATTCTTCCGGGTCTTCAAAAGATTAGGGAGCATCAAGGACTGATGACACCATAATTGGTTCATTAGGTGGTTAAGGTTATTGAATGAACATCCACCTAATCCATGAGCATCCAAGCTCTGGAAAGGCCACAAACCACCATAATTCGCAGAAGAACTGATGGACATCAATCTTCAAGGAAATCGGAGAGGAATGTTGATGACCACCACCTGAAGCTAAAGTGTCAACTATGCAAACCCCCACCTTTGGCCCCTCCTCCCAAACAAGAAGAAGCAGATAGCCTTAAAACTTGCACCGCGTGAAAGCCAAGCTGGTCAACATGCGAATTCTTTTTGAGGTAGAAACACCATCAGAAAAACATGAATTCTCGAAGCCCTCCGAAGAAAAAGTGTGTGCCATGAGTTGTACATTGTAGATCGTTTACATCTTGTTTGCTCTACATAAATGTATATATAATATATTATTCTTTTGTACATGAGCGCCGCCTGGCTTTGACTTTATAGCACATTTGTTTGCATGATTAGTGAGTGATTGTACTATACTTTTGCTTCTACTGTTTACAATCTATAGGTTATGTTTGCTTGAAGTTGTTTTCTTTGTTCAACGCACTTTCTACAATGCTTTTACGGTTCTGTACATGCAAACACCTGTTTCCTATGTGCACATGTGCGTGCGTGGTGTGTTGTCGATTTATATGGGTAATAAATAAACCTGTTTCCTCCATTGCTCCTACACCGTCATGTTTCATATTTTGACATGGCTTTTGAGACATATTGTAGTTTCATGTCGACCAACTACGTTGATTTTGTTTCTGAACAGAGACATTCAAGCTGTTCGTCGCCAAGAAAATACGCTGACACCTTTTCAGTTCTCATATTTAGTAGCCGCAGCCAATTTGATTTCAATTGAGTGGTAGCCCACGCGAAGACGCGAAGAGAGACGCGAAGAGAACAAACCAAGACTTGGCATGGAAGGCTTCTGTGCATTGCTTCAATTGCGCCCGCATTCTATTCGCTTTCCGCGAACCGCGGGGACACCATCACCATCCACCATCGCTTTTGAAGCGTTTGAATTGAAGCGAGTTGTTGCAGAACGACGCCCGTATATTGTACTCTTCATTAATGCATTTGCCCGGCCTCAAGCATATCAGTGCTCCATGCAGGTCGTGAAGAATAACAATAGGAAGAATAACTACAGTAACATATACTAAAGCACAACAAGAAAAACAGTGGTTCCTTTTAGGGATTTGTGGACTTTCCAGAGATATGACACCTTCCAGTGTCAGATAGCTGCGCTCTCACAGTCCCCCGCTCGAGGTTGATGCTGTAGGTAACTGCGGAGAAAGACCATGTCTATTTGGAGGCAGCTTTTGATTCCTCGGGAGCACGTTTGTCTTAGCTTTTTTTCCCCGTTCCAAGGTAGTGCTCTCACCCAACGGCCACTGGCTTTTCTCCGCAAGTGGAGACATCCGAGTATGGAGCGTGCCCAAGATGATCCAAGAAACACACAAGATGCTTGGCCTTCCATACCTGCCATGTGGGACTGTCAGTGGAAGAGAGAAGACAAAAAGATGCCACCCGCCCAAATAGGACAACATTGAGAGGGAAATCCATGCATGAGGCTTTGTACTTTAGTGTTTGTGCAGGGTGAAAGCAGACGTGCTGTGATCTAGCATTTCATTCATGTCTTAATATTAATCCATATTCCAATCAGAGTTATGGAATACACTGATGCAAGTCATTAGGTACTGCTCACCCAACATGTGAGAGTTCCTACATTCCATCCAAGCTGGACCCGCAAAAAGGTGTTTCTTAGCCATCAATTGAGTGTATATCGGTGAATCCATTTCACGACTCAACTCAACACCTGCAATCAGTTGCATCCCCATCTCTGGCCTTGCCGATGTCACAAAAACGTCCGACAAACCCCGATACTTGCCATGTCTACACCACACAAACCCAATCTAACCCATAGAGCGACTTGACCTGAGATGCCCATCCAATACATATGAGCAACCACTTTTATTGAGGCTTTACATGGCTTTACTGAAGTAGTCTACTACAGCCCTACATAAACAAGATACTGTTGTTTGATGACACTAAAGTAGTCTGAACGAGATAGTGTGATTTGCTACTAAAGTAGTTTGAACGAGATACTGTGACATGACCTCCTACTTAAGTCAGTCACAACATCTTGCGAACCAATGGTGTGCCACCCATGACATCCATGAATCTTGCGACTTCCAAAGGAACTTCCTCCCGCCCCAGGAGTCGCACCGCCTTCCGCCGCCACGTGGTGCCCATCAGCGCCTTGGCCATGCGCCGCGACGGCCGCGAGGCGCTGGCGGTGTCGGGCGACGTGGATGAGACAGGAACGCCCAACGGCGGGCTGCAGCTGAGCCGCTGGGAGACTTGGAAGGGCTGGAGGGCGCCTGGGCGCGGGATGGGGCCCGGAATGGGGCTGGACCGGGGCGGCGGGGTTGAAGATGGAATGAAGGAATGGTCCATCTAACTGTTCGTGGGAAGGATGGGGGATGGGTGCCGTGATGGTCATTTAGGCCTTCCTTCGTGGAAAGATGGACTGTTTTTGGTGGGCTCGATTTGGGGTTTGGCCCGTTTTAAGAAGACAGTTGACCCACTGATAGACACACTCGGCCGTCAACTTTGGTTAACTTTAAACGCCCTGGAATGTTCTGCAACTGTTGAAAATTATTCGTTATACTAGGTGGTGTACATCCTGCGCCGCACTCAGTGCGACAGAAACCTGGCCTTTTGCACTGTGCACACTGAAACCTGGTACTAAGAAGTGCAGGAGTTTTTGATCCGTACAAGCCAATGTCTCTCCCTACAACCCAACGGCTAGTTGAGGACTGCGCAACGGCTTCTCAGCTGTCCTTTTGCATCATTCCGGGATCGAAGCTTGGCGGGTCCAGCGCTTCATCGATCACATTTGATTGATGTTTCATAACAAGAGAATGTTTCCAGCATGGTGTCTCTATGTGTCTCTCAAATATTCTCAACTTATGTAAATACAGCTTTATTTATAATGTACGATATAATATATATATATATTATCCATTATTTTGTTCATATAATTAGTTGCACCTAAACACTGAGGAAGGAAGATGATGATCGACCTCTTTGTTTGTCTTTGAGCCCCAATGGCTCCGCTTGTGCTGTGGGTTGCGACACCGGGAAGCTCTGGGTCTTGGCGCTGGATGGAGACTCGGCGGAGTGGACAAGTCCAAAGGCCCAGGAAGCTGTAGAGCTTTCATGGTTCATAGAATTGTCCATCCTCTTTCATGGTCGTTCCACGGATTTTTCCATGGTTTTTTCACCATGAGTTTGGGATTCTTGGGTCATGCCCAGGGCCATGCCCTGTTGGTTCTCTTGAACTGGCACAGATTTGACTCCTCAGTGGATGAAACCATTTGAGTTCGGTCGGTTCTCACGGGTGTCCTCTGGATTTGGATGTCCATCGCAGCTCATCAAATCCATACTGTTTGCCGTAGAAACACCTGATTTTGGCGGAGTCTTTTTCTGCAGATGTCCATCCGGATGTCCATTCAGATTTCTCACAACTCTTGGTGACTGTAGACACGCTTTTCCGGATCCGGTCCGGTCGTCGTCTTGGATCTCAGAGTCGGATCGAACGGACTTGGGCAGGGTAGGGCGACTGGGCGAAGAAGACTGGACGAAGAAGACAGGACTGGCCAGCCTGACTCCCATAATTCCTGATGACTCAGACCAGATTCCCATACAACGCATTCTCCTCCTGAACATGGTTGCGCTGGTTGGATGTGTTCAAGAAATTTGTGGAATGATGTTCCTCAAGAAAGGTGGGTTGCGTTCATCCTTCAGGTCGTGGAGGGAGGTTGAAAGTCGAGGAATCACGGACATTGCTTGCCTATGCTTCCGGCAGTCCATGGTTTTGCTGGTTTCTTCGCCGAAACCGAACGAGGAACCGCTGTTTGGGAGACCGAAGCCCACAGCGAGCGCATTCATTGCTGTGAGTGGTTGGAGGATGATTCCATTGCCACCGGAAGCGAGGACTCGTTTGTGTTCGCTTTGGTTTGCTCTAAGACCCTAAGCCTTAGCCCCTTCGGTTACCAAATCCCGCCCTAGAGGTCCACTGTGGGCGTGTAGAATGAACGCATGGGGGTGAGCCCCCGCACGTTTCCCTGATGCGTTGTTGGTTGTTTCCAACGTGTGTCCATTGAAGCGAATCCTTTACACCTATCCTCGCCTCAGCTCCAAAATCGTTCTGTTTCCACGTTCTAAACGCTGCAGGATGGCAGCGTTTGTTGCTGGTCTTTGGAGCTCCGCGCCTGTCGCGCGCAGTGTCGACCGTACGAGGGCAACGGGCCCGTCCGCTGCTTCGCCTGGACCCACGACCGAGAGCGGGTCTTGTGCGGAGGACGGAGGTCTGGCGGAGGTCTGGGCAGCCACCGGGCAGGGAGGCCGAATGCTGAGGTCTGGAAATCGTCACGATCCTTTTGAGAAACCTTTTAGGTCCAGCAAAGTGCTCAAAAAGGAGGACGGGTACAGAATGGACCAAAACGGCACCGAATTGAACGAATGAATGATCTTTCCAGTACACCGGAGGCGAGTCCAGATTCAGCTGGCAGGGCAGTCCCAGTCCCCGTTTGTATCTTGGTTTCAGAGAGCGAGACCAAACACCAAGTGGGTGTTAAAATAGGGAGATCTTTCAAGATGTCTTGAACAGCAATCAGCAAGGCTTTCTACAAAACCCAAGATTTCGGGGCATTGGGGCAGTGGGGCATGGTGACCTCGGAACATTCAGGAGACTATCAGCATCCTCGGCTCGTGCACCTGGCCGGTCCCGGCGAAGATGGCTACATGGCCATGGAGTACCAAGATGTGTTGCGACAGGCGACCGACCGACTGACCGGTGTCAGAGGTCAGGAGGGGCGAGGCTGCGGGCCTCTCAAGACAGAGAAACATGTGATCAAGGCCAGGTTTGAGATCTCTGATGGAGACGTCGCAGTAGAGGGAAGTTCAATCCGCGGACTGCAAGACCTTGCAGGAGTTGTAGAGAAGAGGAACTTTTGGGGGATTTGGTGTGCAAAAGCCTGTGATGGTGGTGATTGTGTACTTCTTTTTTTTCAGACACCTACCAACTCGCAGCTCAGATTGTTTGTTAAAGGCTTACCGTTGAACCTGGGCGTGTCACTTTTGTTTATGGAAGTCGGAGTGCATGTCAAGAATCAGAAGCTGACCCCTAACTGACCACTGTCAAGTGATTTGCAATAAGTGATTTTGGGTGATCCAAGATGATCGATCTCTCCGACTTCCACCAGCTCAGAGGTTTGGAAAAACTTGCACGACTAGCCAGTGCCAGGGGAAGAAACTGGCCTGCCACCCACCATGCCCCAAGACAGCTTTGGTCAGCATCTGCGGAGAAATCGTGCTTGGACCGATCCCATGAGAGTCGCTGTTGATGATCGCTGTTGATGATAGCTTTGAGCATCACGAATTGCATACTATATGATTCCCAGCTACGAAAGATGGATTCATACGGATTCATCGATTGATCTGGACTCTTCACCCCCCAAACCACTTTCCTCTCCAAATCCGCCAGGAGTTGACGGTCAGCACCTCCTGCAGCCTTGCCCTCAGCTCGGACGACCGACGAGCGGTCACCTGCAGCTGGGACAAGGCACCGGGGTCTGTCACGGATCGTGGTTGATGTACTAGGCCTCCAAGTACCTTCTGAGAAGGTGTTTGGGTTGGGTTTGGAGGGTCCAAATACCTTCTGAGGAGGTACTTGGAGGTGTAGGATGATTCTTTGGAAGGCCAAATTCACTTAAATCAAGATGTGTAAGTACCCCGGCGGGTGATTTACTTCTTCATGGTAAGTGGTACTGTAGTGATGGTAAGTAAAGAGATACACCTTGAAGTGGAAGACTTACAGGATCCACAGGTATTGCCGTCAAAGATGCCCAAAAGTATGTGAGTTCTTGATGCGTTTTGACGGATAGGGACACAACTTGGAGGGAGTTTGGTGGACTAGCGAATCAAATCGGTGGCTTTGTCCGTAGTGCAAGTTGCCGGGCTTCTCCCATCTTCTCCCAATTGGCAGAAACTATCAAATGCAGAAAGTAATGGAGTTCAGGACAAAATTCAATCTTAGGAACCACTCGCGCACTGGTGGAACCTTTGTCACAACTTGGACTGGGTTCCGGATGTTCATTTTCGCTGTTGGAAGAAAGGCACTGGCGTCAGGGACAACCTACCGCAGGCCCCCTGTGAAAGGTGAAGTCTTGATCCCCAAAACCCCCATTTTCGGAGTTCTAAGACGCGCGACGCGGCCGAGTCACAGTCTCCAGGTTGTAAAACGCCACGGCCAGAGGTCGGCGGTGGGTTTTGGAGGTCTTATGACATCAGTGACGATCCATGCAGCTCGATGTTCTTGGAAATGTGTTCCAAAAACATCCAAAAACAAGGGCGGAAGACACCAGGCCTTGCGTCTCTTCGACGTGGACACTGGACAGCTGCTGCTGGTGGTCACCCAGGCGGATCGCAGGGCTAGTTCTCGGTGGATGGGTGGTTGGAGTTGCAAGCGGAAGGGTTCAAGGCCATACTGCCATTCAAGCAGAGGAGCCCCTGGCTTCCATGTCATACACGCAGTTTCCTCTGATCAGCTGACATGCTTTCCGCATGAAAATCCCGTGGATACTCCCTTTTTGCCACCGGTGTTCATCTTAGGTCTCCGATTGGGTCGTCAAGGGCTTCGGTGCAACTTTGGCAGGCAGGAGTGGGCCAGCGGTGTGCCATTGGGATCGGAGGGTATCGTGGCGGAATGTGTGATTTTTCGCATGTGGTGCGGGAAGAAGCTTTACTGCAACCATTGGCGCATCGTGGTGCGAATTGGAGGGAGCTAAGCTGGGCATATCATGGGATTGTCGTGGATTTTCACTGATTCTCATATTCCCCATGAAACAGACACAGTTTTCTGCCAATTAATGGGTTGGGGGCTAGGTGAAAGCGACAGGGGGGAGTGGGCAGGATCCACAGTGAAGCGGGAAACAAGATCCGATGAAGAAAACCACTGATGCGACTCCCTGCCGGTTCAGCAAAGTTGATTGGCCCAGTCCTTGCTTCAGGGGACTTGCGACTTGCCCTGGAAAAAACTGGTTCCCCCTGCCCTCAGGTTCTCAGACCGACCCATTGTTTTGGCTTAATGATTCCGCGGAGTTCCCTTGCCCTTGCCTATTTTCTATTGACAAAAGGGTGACCATCTAGTCACCCCATCTAGTCACCATACATCATGACCCAGACACGACCCGTCTGGGACTGCCAGGACGGACTGCCGAGAAACGGCCAGGGGTGGTTGACTGGGGGTCAATGGGGCGGCATATATTCCATACATGGAGTGTCTGGGTTATCTTGGATTCTTAGGCTTCAACCAACAACTTCACTCTTGATTTTATTCCCGATCACTGATAAGCCAGGGTTCAAACCAGAAGCACTCGAGGACTACCCACTCAATCCTACTAAAGTCTAAGATACCCAAACTCCATTGCTCTTGATCTGGATGCATTGGCCATTCGTTTCAACCCATGTCCGCCCATGTCCACGTCCCGCACCCACCGGGCCACCCTGCGGAGCCGAAACAGGTGATTCCGCAGGGCTTTGTGTCTGGAACCTCAGGTCGAAGCCGGGGCAAGCCCCGGCACCGGGGCATTCAGGGGGAGAGCCGGCCTGGTGGGCTTTTGGGGAAAGGAGGAAAGAACCAGATCATGCAGATTTGGAGTATTTGGCTTCCCCCCCACCCATCCCCACCCCCCCTCTTGTGTTGTTGTTAAGTACAGTACACTCCCTGGGCCATACTCATGGTGACGTGGAGAACGCATGGTAGCTCCGAATTCGTAAAACAGGTAGCGCCATCCACTTGCGCTTCCATGATGATTTCACTGAGTGTGTTTGTTTTTGGGATACAGGTAATTGAGTGTTCTTCCTTCCCTCTTTCAATGCCCTTTTTGCAGGCCCGCAGTCGTGAAGAAAACGGCCAAAAGCGAGGTCAGCTATGCCTGGGATCAACAGTTGCAGCTCTGGGATTTGGGGCTCAGCCTCTTGGTGCTTTGAGGGCTTAGCAGGTGGGCAGGTGTTTGCACCAGCAGACATGAAGACATGTGAACTTCGTAGCAGTTAATCTATAATAGAATACATGTGAAGTTTTCTACAGCGCTTGGTTGACCAATTCCAAGCATAGCATAGTGATGAAAGATGTCAAAACATGCCTGTTGGGTGGTGGTGCACTGGTGGTGCTAGCTGCTAGTCGGCAGTCTTGACTCATCACTCACTCTCTCTCTCTCTCTCTGACTGACTGACTGACTGACTGACGGACTGATTGACTGACTGACTGACTGGACTGGACTGGACTGGACTGGACTGGTTCACCTACGTATTACCATCCTTGATAACCTTGAGCAAGGCCAACAGCGTCAGCTTTGAGGATACTCTACCAGGGTGTTCAATTCTTGTAGGCTCTTCCAGACCCAGACTTGTTGGGACCCCAACAGAGAGCTTCTGACTTGTTTAGATATGAGTCACGTGTTCGCCCTGGTCCAGTCCACCATTGTCGCACTCCGTCCGTCCACCCGGTCCCTTGACCGGTGATGCCAGTCCACCCGCCTGACGGCCCAGGTGCCCGTGGGTCTGGATGCCGTGTGGTGGAGGCCAAAGATGCACCTGAGAGGCTGTGTGCCTGCCAGTGCGGCTTGGAGGAACGGAGCTCTGAACGGAGGTCTTCGGAGCTGCGGAGGTGGACCTGGTGTCTGAATCGAGGTGTCTGGACCCTCGGAAAGGTGTGATGGAAGATGAAGGCATCCAATAAAACCTCATGTGTTTCCTATTGTTTTTGATCGATGGACACCATATTATATATATACTTCAACATGACTATTATGCTTAATTAACTATAGGATACTATAGGCATGGCCTTCTAAGTGACTTGAGGCTGCGATTCCAGGTGGTGTGTCCTTCAAAGACCGGGCGGCCCAATTCAGCATGATCCCTCGCAAGGTCCTTGATGCCTTGATGCCTTTGGGCATGAATGTTTTCTCATGTCTACTAGAGGGGAATTTAGGGGTACGGGCGGAGTTTCCAGCCATGCTGTTGGAATTTACACGACGAGGCCACCACCTCGATTTGGCCTAGCAACAGCCAGAGTCGCTACTCTTCACCAACAGCTAAGAATATGATCATCCAATGGCTAGCTGGCAAGCTGCGGATTCACAGCTCGGAAGCAAGTTGATGGAAGGTGCGGATTTTGCCGACACAATCTGTCACCACTCATGTAGAATCCCTCATTTGTTATGTAATATGTTGTACTCGTAAATAGACTAGCAGACAAGGATCCAATTGATCGGTTCGTCCTTTTTTTCCTAAGGTCACTCCGCCTGTTGATTGAATCGATGACCACCTGGAATTCCTGCAACATTTTGCAAAAACTCCTGGGACACCTAGAAACCACATGTTAAAGACCTTTAAAGGTGTTGATTTGTCTCCAGACCTTTTAAAGGGATTCATCCGGTGTCCCTGTGGAACCTTTTGTTTCGACATCGTCGACGCCAAGGCGATGCCTCTCTAGTGCGCATGGCTTGTGCTCCCCGCTGGACTGAGGGCGTGAGGCCGGCGAAGGAGGGTGGCGAAGAAAAGGGTCCAACCGCTGGTGGTTCTGGAGATCTATATAGTCTATACCCTACTGCTCCAGTCGTACCTCCTCAGGTTCGGTATGACTGGACCCTCCTGGCGCCCATCCCAAACACCTTCGAAACGAAGGTACGACTGGAGCCCTAGGAATAGTTAACTATAGTTTAACATAGAGGTCGCTACAGGGCGACACTGGCAATCACTCCATGCCCTGCACCCAGCGTCTTTCATGTGAACAGGTGCTTTGCCTTGACAGGTTGTGTGTGTTTTGTTTTTTTTTGGGAACAGAAGCACAAGTGTGGTTGGTTTTGGTTGGTTTTAACTTTCATCATCATTCGATGTATATACTAAGATAGAGGAGACTGGGGAGACCTCCCAAAGACCTCCGCCAGAAGAGGGGCAATACTTGGGCCAAAACCATCCAAAACCCATGAGGTTGGGGGTTCCCCTATTAAAAGAACTTAAAATACACACCCATGATGGCCTCATCACGATTTGAAGGGGAAGATGACTCACCACACTACCAGCAGGTCAGGGAGGCTCCCAGACTGCTGCCTGCAGCATTGTCGCCCAAAGCCGGTTGGGAATTGGCTGGGTGATCTTGAGGCGTGTGTGATACATCCTACTGGCCTTTACGGATGTGTCAATTGACCAGCATTGGATATGTGGTGGAATATGATGGGTTTGGAGATGGGCATATGTCGGACGTAGGACCCTCAAACCTATCTACAAAATTATTCAGCAGGTCCAACCCTATGCGAGCTTGATAAACAGTACATGCATGGGCAAGGTTCCATTGAATCTCCTGGCAGAAGAATACACAAGCACAGACCTGTCTGATGTTGTTTAAGTATGTTTGTCCCGTTTGTAAATCGCCATTGCAGGAAACTTATGTGAACAATGTTTGCGCCTATTCAGCAAAGATTTTGGAAGAATTGATCCATGTGGCTTCCAGATCGGCATCCAGGCGTTCCTTAGCCTTCTCCGACGAGGAGGGCGCAGTGCACTTCTTCAAGGCCACAACAAATCCACGTTGATCCGAACATGTCCAGAAGTGTGGATGCACAGAATACAGTTTATGTGTTTCTTTCGGGCACCCAGCGGCAGAAGTGGCTTTGGTTTGCTTCGGACGTTAGTCACCAAACTGCCGCCATCCAACTGGCCGTGCAGGTCGAACTTGTACCACCCGCGAGCGGTGAGTGACTGTGCTGGCGCGCAGCGGTGCGTCGTGCAATTGCTGCCAGCGGCGAGCGCGACGTGCCGACAGCACAAAGCTGAAGGCAAAGGCAATGGCGAGGAACAATGTGATGGGCAGTGATGGTGGAGAAAAGGTATGCGATTTCGCATGCGCCAGTCAGCAAGGTAGAATCAGTGCAAAGATGTGGAAAGTAACTGGTTGCGACACTGGTTCCCCTCGTGCGACTGGTGAAAAGGGGAGGGGGGATAAGAGTAGATTGGAGACTTGATTTGTTTGAAAAGAAGAACACATATGTGTTTTTGTTGGGTAGCAGTATATATGTTAGCAAACCCTCCGCCATCCGACATCTTCCAACATATGTTATTTCCCGTTATTTTCTACTCCTCCAAGCAATGATACGACCTTCTGAAGATGCCTGATATGCTGACTACCTTGCCTTGATGGTTGGTTCCCAGAGAAGAGTTATGTTCATCACTCCCAGACCAGTGCACTGTTTTTGTTGTTTCCATGTCTGTGGCATGGACTAAGAGCCCAAAATGAACTGAGCGAAAAACCGGTCACCAGGCACCTTGGAGGTTTCAGTGTAGACAATTGTAGAAGCAGATAATGGAATCTCGTTGCAGCGCAGCGATTAATGATTGGTATTTTTGGCGATTGGGTGGTCCTGAACGTGAAAACTTGTGGCAAATACTGATTGGTTCAAGATCGACAATGAACATTTGTTCGAACCCAGATAGCTACTTGCAGCTTATATATCGCATCGATGTTGCACGGAATCCACTCAGAACCAAGCGTTTTGGCCATTTTTTTGGACTGTTCAGTTCTGGCACTTGTCGCCTCCAACCGTCTCCACTCTGTTCGCGAAAATCACGGGTTCAGGCGGTTCAGGCGGTTCCGCTGGCTCCAGCTGTTTGCCGGCTCGCCCCCGTGTGACCGGTCGGCCGCCTCATGAGGCGGAGTCAGGGGACGAATCGGGTGGCCGTGTTGGTGGTTTTTTTGGTCGTTTCTGTTTGAATTGCCCCTGAGATGGTGAAAGATTGGTTAAGAAGTGGAACGGAACGCGACGTCTGGTCCTTTTGCGCCTGAGAGGGGTGTAATTCGTGATTTCAGAGTCGACTCCATATAGAATATCAAGGTGCCAGTATAAGTTGTGAGGTTTTGAGTTTTGACCACGGTTTCTGTGAGAGATGGTCAGAAGGTTGTCACTTGACTTTTCTTAGAGACTGGACTGACATGGGGACATAATATAGCATATATAGATAGCTATAGTCGTACTCAATGTGTATCGGATACATAATTACTCTAGTTGGAATTCAGTAGACTCTTGATGAATAAATACACCACCATTTGGCTTGTAAAACCTCTGTAGGCTTGGGGTGATTAGTTAAAATCAAGAGCCAAGAGTCTACATAACCTGAAGGTCCGGACTGCACTGCCAGGTGTGGGCCACAGAAAGGCAGGCTGTGGCAGATTTTTACCGCTTGAGTCGAAGGTGAAAGTGATTGGTTTCTAACAGCTGTTTGGATGTTATTTGGATATATTTGGATGCGTTCAAGGTCTAACAGCTGTTTGGATAAATTTGGGTTATATTTTTCCAAGGGGACAAGGGCCAGGTTTTCAGACAGGTTTTTGCACTTGGCCTTTTTCAATCTCTTTAAGCTGGTTGGGTAAAGCCCACATCATCCTCAAAACGCTATATTACAACAAATAAGGTTGCCAATACTGTTGTCTTTGTTCCGAACGGCTTCCAGCAGGTAGAGTGGAGTGTGAGATAGTGTGAGTATACATATCATGAGGATGGTTCATGAGAGAATTTGAGGGATGTCCAATCTGGAGCCACTTCCTATGTTGAGCCTTTTGGATTTTGTCAATCTTGTCCTTTTGCCTTGCTGTGTTGCACAACGATTCGGTAACCCATTGAGTTTTTGCTTCAGTGCAAACACGAGCAGGACCTGTCGGCCTGTCAGTTGGATTGCGTGATTCAAAGTTTTTGAATTGCTGGGGCTCCAAGTACCTTCTGAGAAGATGTTTGGGATGAGTTCACAGGATCCAAATACCTTCTGAGGAGGTACTTGGAGCAGTAGGGAATGTGTTTTCCTGTTTTCCTCGAATCTCTTCAACCAAAGAGGCACTAGGGAAGGTTCTTCCTCCCAAGTTATGGCTTCCCTGGGATGTGTGGCGACTGGAATCTAAGGATCAAATGGTAGATGGTGTGACTTGAGCGGCAGATGACTTGAGTTTCGCTGCTGATCTGGCTGAGGTGGATTTGCCACAATCAACAAGCACAACGATGAAATCAAAAGAAGACAAACACATGTTCTTCAGGCAGGATCCAGACTTGGGACTTCCAAACAATTACTGAAAGAATACATAGTATCGTTTGTCACACATGAAGGCTGCATGGACGCTCCGTACATCTTGTAATATATGTTTTCCTCATCAGCATACTGTGCAGCTCGTGGGCCTCTGGATGTCATGCGGACATCAGAAGCTGCCACTTCAACACAGCAAGTTCCTGTGTCTTCTGGGTCTACCAGTGAGGGCCAGCTTTGCCCCCTGTTCGACTAACAGAGTAAAGCAACCGTAGATGGTGAAAATCCAATGAGTTGGGTGGAGCCTACTCATATCATATACTAATACCTAGAATATATAACTACAATCTGCACATATTTGCATAGAACTCCCTCTCGCAGAACCCTGGCCCTCCGCCATGAGCAAGCAGCGCAGTGGCCAAGTGCATGATGATCACGGCTGGAGGCCGGCCGTGCCGCTGATCCGGGGGGTGTGCTGATCGCGAATCCGATCCCATCCAAGTTCCTTCGCGGTGGCATCAGTGACACCGAACCATTTCAGACGATCCAGCAGAAGGAGGCTCTGGACCTTCAGACCTGGCAGGTGCTTCAGACCTTGCAGAGTCCTTCCTTCCTTATATGTAGAGCCCTGTTTTTTTCTCTTGCGTGTCGTGTCGTCCTCGCTTTTGGTCACGGCTCATATGGCAAAACAACATCATGTGTTGCTTTTCGTAGTTTGAAATCACTCAAAATCGGTCCATCGAGGGGAACGACGTCCACTGGTTACATTAGAGCTCTTAGCTCGTGGGTTGGCCCGGTCGTCGCTCGATGGGTCGGACGTCTGGACGTCACTTCACCTATCCGATCGTCGCGCAGGTCGTTGCTCCAGAGTGCTTTAGAAGACACGTGGTGTCCCAGCTTGGAGGCGATGCCAGACAGGGAGACGAAGAAATCGAAGCCACGGGCCATCAAGAGAAAAGCTGGAAACACATACCCCTTGAATATGTCACTATAACATGCAGTTTCCAACCCCATTTGATAAAATCCTGAAAAAAGAAACAAGTGTCCATGGCAAGTGGATAAGCTCCCCGTGTGTAGGCCACTAAGTCCAAGTTGAAAAGGATAGCCTTAGGGACCAACCGGATTTGGTGAAGGAAGACTGTGCGAGCCTTTCTTCTGAATGGTTCGTGCAACACGGCGGGTCTGTGTGAACCTTGCGAAGCCTTCTAGCTTGGATCATGAATCCCTGAATCTAGTTGGGACCGCAAGCTAACCGTGGTTTTTGGGTGAACCAATCGCCACGGTGGATGAGTCAGTCGGAGAGTCACTTGCAGCTTTGGTGAGAGGTCTCCAACTTCCTGTTGCAGGATATGCGTGGGAAAACAAGACATGCTTTCCAGCATGGATCCAGGGAAGAGAGTAATTCCTCATTAGAGCACGGCTATCCAG